CACCGACCGATGCCGCGGCCGACCGAGGTGGAAGTGGAGAAGCCAGAGAGGTGGGCTGGAGAGCTCCAGTGCAGCGCGAAACAGAGAGAGAGAGAGAGCAACTAGATTCCAATGATATGAATTGTTATATTGCTAGGATGTTCCATAGTTTGCGGTTCTAAGTTCTAAGAATGTCTTTGGTGGATTTTCACCTGTTTGTCCATCAGCAGCAGGGTGGGTGGACAGGGAAAGCGAGATGGTTCAGAAGAATTGGCAATGGTGGGTGTAGTAGAGCCGGGAGACATGGGTGCAATATATAGAGTAAATAGACCCTTTTGGCACAATAGATTGGTTTTCTGGTTTCCTCAACCCGCGCCAACCCCTGGGTCAAAACCGCCCCATATCATATGCCTACAACAGGTAGCAGGATCTCTAAAAAATCCGGATCCAAAACGAATATCCCTGGGGAATGCAAAAAAATATTGCGGAGATCAGTAAGAATATGATTTTAGGGTTTTTCGTGGCGGCTCACAGAAAAATAGATGCTTTTTGGCAGAACCAGCAGCACAGAAAAAACAAAAACATATTGTTGTTTCTTTCGGTAATCTTGAGACAGGTCATGATCGCAGTAAACCATATATAAGTTCGCATTGCGTTCTCCAGCCACCAAAAGGTAACATGGAGTAAGTGTTCCGCGTGAAAGCATGATCATAGTAAGTTTCTGCGTGCACAGGGAGACAATTCTAGGCTTTGCTGTTTCGGTGCGTGGCCACCTCGCCTGCCTAAAGCCAAACCATGACCGCAGTAAATTGTTCCATTTTCCAGCCACCGACCGGTGCCACCTAAAATTTGATTTCGTGGTAGGCCAGGAGATTGGACACCATGCGCAGATTTCGTGGCGCGGGAGGGTGGTTGGAGGGGAGGGCGCAGCACCTCCCCAGAAATCAACGACACCAACCGCTGCAAAAGAAACAAGAAGAAACACTGCAAGGAAGTGCAAGATTCAAGACCATTGGCCCATGGGTTGCGTTGAAAAATGTTTTAACATAATGCCCTCGTTCAATCCAGGATCAAACGATTGTTTGCTTCATTCCTTCCTTCGTTCCTTCCTTCCTTCATTCCCTTCCCTTCCCCTTTCCTCCTTTCCCTTCCCTTCCGTTCCCTTTCCTTTCTTAAAAAATAGTTTGTGGTTTGACCTGAAAAAAGTTTTTCCATACTTTTCCATATTTTTCCCCACCTGTCTGGTGAGGGTCATTGGAACTTATGTCAGCTGCCGTCCTCCTCATCCTCGTCCTCTCGTCATCCTCGTCCTCACCCACGAGTTCTGGCTGGCAGTGTTCCCTGCCAGACCTCAACCGCGAGGTCCGCTTGGTAGTTGTCCCCGCCGGACCTCAACTGCAAGTGCAGGATGACGTTCCCCGCCGGACCTCAGACGCCAGCTCCGGAGCGCACTGGGCGCTGCCGGACCTCAACCAACACACAACCACAACACACAGGCACAAAGACACATCCACGGCACACAACCACAGCACACAACCACAACACACAACCACAGCACACAACCACAGCACACAACCACGACACACAACCACAGCACACAACCCGAGGACCCACAAGCAACATCGAGAACCACAAAACTCACGACCATGGCAACATGCTCCTCACCATGGCATGAAAAGAAATGTCATGGTGGGGATCACTCGAAGGAAAGTAAAGTAATTGATCCTGATGATTTTTCGAAACCCATGCATGCCTCAAAATATGCCCCAGGGGCTCTCACGCAAACCGGATCTGATTGCCCAGCGCCTCCATCTCAGCTTTCATGAACATCGCAATCAACGGCATGGCGAAGTTGCCACGCAAGGTCGCGCGGCGCCGCGCCGCGCGGTGGGTGCTGGGGCTCAGTAAGGGCTCAAAGCTTGAGAAATGGGAGCGGGACGGGGCCAGCAGGTGCTCGAGCAGCCCAACTCTCCCACGATCAAACACTACTACTACCCTCATGGCGGTGAAATCGGGTTGCGCACTCAACGGACATGGATGAAAAAAGGGTGAAACAGGATCTTGCGCAAGAGCAACCCAACGCATGAAGTGCTGGCAGGCAGAGCTCCACCACACCATCCAATTGGTAGCACAAAACCAAAAAATGCCACCCACCGGACAGAGGTGCCATTCATTCTTGCAAATCATAGTCAAGTAACGGTTCAACAGCGATGCTTTTGGGAGGGAGTCAAAGCGCAACCAAAGCATGGTTTTCATCGTTCAGCGTCGCCGGCCGGTTGCACTTTGAACCGGCAAGATCTATAATATGACAGTCTCTGGGCGCTTTGGGACATTGGTCTTTGTTGGTGCTCTCTCAGTGGATCAGCCCCAATTTGCTATATCAGTGAACTGGCCCACACCAATCCTTTTGCCAGACATCCTCTTAGCACAGGCCGTCATAATTTTTGGCCCCACCTGCTCTGTGATGTCCCTCCATGACCCCTATGTGCAGGGAACTCCGCGCATGTGTCCAAGACGTCCAGACTGCGCAGGACCTCACTCATCCAGCTTGATGCTCATTCCCAATCCAGCAGCCACCTCGGAGAAGGCAGTCACAGGAAAGACAAGCAAGGCCCGATAGCTTGCAACTCATCCCTAGAGCTACCACCCACTCAGGGCTGAAGTGAGTAATTGATCGCTTGACAGCGACGACATTTGGACCAAGTGCCCCTAGAAGGCCCCAAACAAGCCCTTGTTGCAATTTAGACATTGAAAACCTAATGACTGCTGTCAGCGCGGACTAAAGCTCTTAGCGGCAGGCAGAACAAGCGTTGCCCAACATGCCAACTCAAAGTCCACCGCATGATTTCCTGACTCCGTTGTCCATCCTGCATTCATTCCATTGTACATGCTCCAATCTAGGCAACAATACATTGTCAGCGTACCACTTCACCTAAAACTACCACTTCACCAGCAGTGAAAACGTACTTCACCAATCCAAAGAATATGAACACATACCCGCACCACTGCAGCAGGACTGTATGATTCCGACTTCACCTGTCTGTTGAAACCACGTTGTTGCAGCAACAGATCTGTGTCGAACGGTGGATGACAAAATACCAGGGAAGACATGCTGGGTTCCCGGAGTCAATTGATGTTCTTCCCAAAAAGGGGATGCGGGTATCATCGCATCCAGGTCCTACAAGGGAAGGAAATGGATGCTAAGTTAATGATTGTCGC